TTACCAACAAAGAAGAGAAGACAGGGGGGGGGGGGGGGGGGGAAAGGGGGGGGCCAAAAATACTACCACAAATCAAAAAACATGATCACAAACACACACATACACCCTGAGAAAGGTGTGTGTACACATGTACACAGGCAACGCTTTCATACATACAGTGATGCATTCACTGGAATAACATTCCAACACACTCGTGCACACGTTAACCCACACATAAGAGGATATACATGCTCACACACACACACACACGCGCACACACACACACACACACACACACCCCTCTGATCAATAAAACATTGCACACGTTGGAGTTATATAAACGGGAGAGAGAAACAGAGAGGGGGGGGGAGAGACAGCAAGCTGCTAGCCTGGTTGTCAATGGCAACAGTGTTTTGGAGGCTGATCATCAGTAAGTGCAGCGAGCTCTGCTGCAAAGCATGGTGGGATATCGCCACGCTTTGCACCACAGATTTCTTTTTTTTGTCAGCCGTTCAGAAGTACAGACAGATTTTATGATACGCTTATGCTTAGCTGTAACTTGTTAACAATACAATACGGTGCTCTGGTTCATCCACGTGCCCACTTGATTCTGACTGGCAAACCAGCTTTACAGACCGCCACAGTGTGGGACATCAGAACAGTTCAGCTGACAGCAAGCTGTTCCCTTCACAGTACAATGTCATCGACCGCATTTCACCCATTTCTCTAACAAGTACGATTTTGGCTCCCGTCGCTTCAGCGTTTGCACGAGTTAAAGAGCCACTCCAATAATTTAGCACTGGACTTCCATAACGTTGGGGGACGTTACTAATCGTACGGTCCAAATCAAAGCAACAGAGGCCGAGGCTTTCTGCTATAAAGTCGTAGTCTCCAAGGCCAAGCCGAGACAACCCCTAACGACATCGTCGGGGTTACTTTATCAGACTTTGGAAACCTCTACCAGAGTTATTTCTTCTCAAACCAATCACACACCTCAACTCTGCTGGGGGACAGTTCACTTCACTGTACCTATTCTCATCCGCCAGTCCCAGGAGACAGAGAGTGTGTGTGTACACGTATTCATAGCACACACACTCATGTTCCTGCTGTAGGCGACGTAATGCAGAGACGGATCAATACAAGTGCTGCTGTACGGCCCACAGACGTGGGGAGGGGGCTGTCAGGGTGATTACTTTGTCCTCTGGGGGTGTATCGCTCTCACAGCCAACAGCCTAGATGTGAATGTGGGTCAATATCATGCACACTCACTCAAATGAGCAGCCAGTTGCTTCAGATGAAGGACAGTGGAAGTGAATCCAGGTCAAGCAGGAAGCGGAAAAGAGCCCAAATGCATCACAAACGCTTCAGTGCAAAAGTGAATGATCGGTGGTCGATATGACTGGTTATCATCTGCTGTTAAATGATACGCGGGTGATATGATGATATTATGATTGACAACTGTCTGTAATTAAATGAAATATGAAGCATGTTTAGAGGTTCCGAGGGATTTTAGACATCAGTTTCTCCAACAATTCACTTAATAGCTCACTGTTTCCAGGGTGACGACAGGATGGTGCGTTCGTGCCGTGTGGGATTAACCATTCACTCAAGGTGGCTAAAAAAAGCAGAGCAATGTCTGGGTAATTTACAAGGAGGAAGTTGTGCACCGTTATCCTCCAACTCGGGTTACAAATCGCATCTCGATGGCAAACAGCGGTAAAAATCATCACCAGCTAAAGGTCGACATTTACGAGTCATTTTAAATTCATGAACACAAATCATTTCAAAAGGAGGGGATTGCAACACGCTAAAGGATGCTCTGAACTCAGCAGGACGACATGTCTTTGAATGTTTTTTTCCCCCTTAACTGAACATGACACAAGCACTTCCAACAGCAGAAAAGTTAAAGTTTTTAGGTTTATGCTATGTCATATCAGGGAAGAATGTGTTTTTTATACAAGCAGATAGGAGTCATCACATATTCACTGTGAAAAATGCAACTTTTCTGCTTTAAACATGAAAGGATAATCTCACTGCATTTACAAAATGAATAGAATTAAGTACAGTGTGGTGAGGGCATCATTAATCTGTGTTTGTGGGCACAGATTAAGGACATTCAAAATGGCTAGAGGAGTGATATAAGAAGTGTGTCGGCAGTGTTACATATTGAGTTACAGCAGGATTATTTATCTCTTTTTTTAGATTTGGCAATGACATTCCTGCATTATTGGTGTGAATAGAACGCCCAGAACTCACACTGACAATGCAGGGATGTTCTCCTCGCTATTAATTTCAATAGGCGGGATGATATTTTGCGCTGGCACTCAAATTATAGTCCAGTAGTTTGTGGTATTAATACAATTTAAAAGGAAATGTTAGGTAAATAAATCAGACTATTTGCTCAATACAGAACAGCCCCCAACTGCACCGCAGGTACCTGTAAAATATGATATTTATAATTAGCTGGTCCGGATGAATTATTCTCAAACTGCAGTGTTGACATGTCCACACACCCCAATTCAGTCTTCGTCCTAAGCGGCCGGGACAAAATGTAACGCCATGGAGTCCATTATCGGACAGACTGTGTGTTACTCACAAATGACATTTGAGTCATTTTTACCTGAAAAATGGTGAATTCCGTCGTTTCAAGCCGACTCTCCGGAGCAGCCAGGCCCGGATGCCCTCCTCCGCTTTATCCGCCCACTGAAGTAACGTTAGTCAAACACAGCTCCGTCTGTGCTCGGTTTCGGTTCCAAACGAAAAAGAAATATCCTCCGAGACACACAGAGAAATGTGAGAGGTTGGAGGACGGGGAGCTTAAGACCGAACCCCCAAAATGTCGTTCATGTGGCGGTGAAAGCAGTTTAAAGAGGCTGGAGGAGGATCTGTGTCGACAGAGGAGAAGGGAGGGGTGTAAACCTGCTGCCATCAAGTTCAACACAGTGGTATATTATAAGGCTTCCTGTACAGTTTCAAAATAAAACTATTATCAGCTGACGTCTGTCGTGTTGTATTCAAAATAATAGTGACATAAATAACTTTTTCTATAATATCTAGATAGTTATGAACACGCACGCATACATATATTCTCAATGTTGTGTTTTGACATATTTAATGGTATGACTTTGGCTTATATGGTGTCATTGTGCAAAGAGAAAGTCAACTTTCCGCTAATGCTTGCAAACTGCAGTTAACTTGACGAAGTTGAGGGACGCAGTAGGAAATGCAGATAAACGAAACAAAGGTGACTTTATTTGAATGGCTTTCTTTTCAACTGTTTCTTGTAACACATTCGCTTACACTGCAACAATGTAGCTTTTCAGCGGATGTAACAGGATGTAACATTGTAGAAATGATTCAAAATACAGTTTCTCCCATCTTCAGTCCATCTTCAATCAAATATGCAGCTTTTACAACATAGATGTATTTAATTATGACAATAAAACAATAATTACAAACCACTAGTACTCATCACTTATAAAAGACATTTAGGGTATTCCAAAAATCTAAGGGTTTATAAATGGCGCTCGTAGTAAATCTGTTCAGTTGTACCAAATTATACTCAAAGGATTCATTATAAAATAATCCTTGAGATTATCAGATGGTGGTTTATAGGCTGTCCATTTACAACATTCTAAAATTGACCGTGGACTAAGTAAAAATATTTACAACGAAATACATATTCAGGAAATTCATTTGGTTGAAAAGATGTTTGTGTGATGTAGTGAATAATTAATGTCTCCTTCTTCCTTCAATGATTGGGTTAATTAATTGATTTGAAAGGATGAATATTAATATCAATAGCCATCATCTGAGTGAAAAACGGAAACAGAAAAATGGGACATCGGACATAAATTGGACAGGCAACCATAAACATAACGAGCGTTAGGTTTTATTTCTGGTTATTTGGCGCCGCCTGCTGGACAAACGCTGCAGCGGCGACAATTAATCCAATCCTATCTTTGGTGTTACTGTCCTGTAGGGATTTACAGTGCTAATATCTCACAATATAATATATGTTTAAAGAGTTAGCTTACCTAAATCACAAAAACGTATATTGACATTTAACCTCTCTGGGATATATATATATTTTTTTAATTATTAGAGCAGGTTTTGAGATATCTATCTCTAAATCTTCTCCTGTCAAACAATTACAATTACAATGGAGGTCGATGACATTTCCTTTGTGCAGCTGGAGGCACGGACACATTGTATTCTTGAGTTGCTTGTACACAGCTGTATGAACAGCTGTCTGAAGTGTACGTGTGAGTGCTGTCGTCACTCTGCTCTTTACCCCAGTCAGACCCGTGTTACGGTTTAACTAGGGACCCTGTTAACTGGCGACCTTCAGCCGAATGCGTCTGTTGTTGTCGTAGTTACGGCAGCTGTTGAGAATGGGTAGAGAACACGTAGCTGTCCTCGTTAATGCCGCATTGTTTAGTTTTGCAATACAGTGTCAAACCTTCTCATTTACAGTCTGTGGTCAAAACATACCAGATTCGACGTTGGAGAGTCTTTTGAGGAAAGTAGTCCACTCGAGTTTGAAACGTCGCTTGCTTGCTTGTTGTTTGTGTTGAAACAGGAAGGGAGCAAATTCCCCTTCCTTTGAAATAATAAAGTTGGTAAAAAAAAACACATAAACGTCTTTGGAGCCTGTTTTGTGGAAACATGATTGTGTTTCCACAATTGATCTGGGTTCCCTCTGCAGTCACCAGTTGATCTGGTTACCCCTGCGACTGCTGACTGTGTATGACATTTTTCTACATGCTTCCAGCAATTCCGTTGTATCAATCGTGGCCTAACGGTACTACCTCTACCCGCCAGTTGTTTTTCCACTCAATGATATGAGTTCGAATCCCGTATATAACTTTTTTTTAATTTTATTTTTTTAATTGTACATTTTTTTTAAACTGTGCTACAGACTTCTTCTACGTAACACAATCATGTTTCCACAAAACAGGCTCCAAAGACGTTTATGTGTTTTTTTTTACCAACTTTATTATTTCCAAGGAAGGGGAATTTGCTCCCTTCCTGTTTCAACACAAACAACAAGCAAGCAAGCGACGTTTCAAACTCGAGTGGACTACTTTCCTCAAAAGACTCTCCAACGTCGAATCCGGTATGTTTTGACCACAGACTGTAAATGAGAAGGTTTGACACTGTATTGCAAAACTAAACAATGCGGCATTAACGAGGACAGCTACGTGTTCTCTACCCATTCTCAACAGCTGCCGTTATCTACGACAACAACAGACGCATTCGGCTGAAGGTCGCCAGTTAACAGGGTCCCTAGTTAAACCGTAACACCCGCTCTCTCCTGTCATCGGTGTTGTTTACCTGGATCACACCGGGAGACTACCTGACTGGAACATGTCTCGGGCTGCGGAAAGACTCAGGCTGCTGATCAGTCATCTTGATCGACCACCTGGCACGATTGTATCATTTTTGGTTCATGCTTTGTTTGTATGTGTTTGGATCACCGGGAGCGGTTAGCGGACAGCTCTGGTGGGCTAGCCCGGGGTCCCTCGGTCGACTGCAGGCCTAGAGTAACATGAGGATCAATACAGGAGGCATTTACTGCCTACTAGATTTAAGAGTTTGGAAATATATCTGTAAGTTACGTTAGGCTCCGGCATTGTCTTTATACGTCTATCTAACGTAGCGGAGAAAATACAACGTTAGCTTAAAAGAACTCAGGAAAGCTAACGTTAGCATGTCTGTTTAGGGTCGTTTGTAAAACTTGAGTGTTTTTATCTTTAATTAATACATTCAGTTATATACGTCGAAGGCTTTTCTATTACTTTGACTTTCCACACTGTCGTTTCCTTGACCTGTTTTCTGCAGAGAGCTGCACCAACCTCAGCTCAAAGCTTCAGCTACAGCTCCCCACAGAGACTGAGGTAGGGACACGCAGGCCGGTTGAATCAGGCTTAAGGTCACAAGTTATACAATGCATGTTGATCATTCACCTCTGACACAGTTTCTCCACTTTATCTGCGTGTAGCAGCAGGTGGTGCATTTAGTTTCACATGTTCATAAGACAACGACTAAACAAACCCTACTTTAAAAAACAAAAAAGATAATTTAGTGGCAGTTCATGTCCCATGTTAGTAAGTAGCTAAGCCAACAACTGTAAATTACTGTAAATCCAATATGACTTGAATGCAACATTCACATAAACATGGTCTATCAGTCATTACCGGTTTATAGGAACCTTCCATAACACAGATGTTGATATGGATGTGTGTTATCCCTTTCTCTGGGCAGATACACTGACAATACCGACCTGCTGACCCCAGAACAGCGACTCTTCTTTGAGGAAAATGGCTTCATCCTCATCAAGAATCTGGTGTCTGAAGAGGACATCGACAAGTTCAGGTGAGCATCAGAGACTCTGCCAACTACAAAGAAGAAACAACAGAGGCCTTATATAGTAGTGGAACTATAAAACCTACAAAATACAATTAAACCCATTATTAAGAACATCAAACTCACTATGACGCGTCTCCAAGGATATTGTATATCTTACTGACATGTACAATATCGATCCATGACTCCACAGTGAATAAATAGGTATGTTTATTATAGACCTGCAGATGTTTTGTCAGGTGATGAATGTGATCCATGTGTGTTCCTCAGGAAGGAGTTTGAACGGGTCTGTCGACAGGAAGTCAAGGTTCCCGGAATGGTGGTGATGCGGGACGTGGCAATCGTTAAGTCCGAGTTCGTTCCGGATCAGAAGGCGGTCTCCAAACTCCAGGATTTCCAGGAAGATCCTGAACTGTTCCGGTACTGCTCCTTGCCACAGGTACACTTTACACACACACACACACACACACACACACACACACACACACACACACACACACACACACACATTGGTGCAGTTGGTTTAAAAACCCAACTGCACCAATTTTCCACAAACAAAAACATATGTCAACAGAATGAACTCTCAAATTTGTATTCTTTTTTTAAAATAACTTACATTTGAAATAATTAAAACCTGAACACCGTTAAGGCAAGAACATGTGCTTTCCCATGTCAGATTCTGAAGTATGTCGAGTGTTTCACTGGACCCAACATCATGGCCATGCACACAATGCTGATCAACAAACCTCCTGATGCAGGTATGGAGCTATTCGTATTCACAATAAGCTGTTTTTTTGTTTACCTCAACACGGGAACTGCCGTATTAATAAGCCTCATCCAGTTCGGTCAAACACATCAACTGTTGTTTCAGGTAAGAAGACGTCTCGTCACCCGATGCATCAGGATCTGCACTACTTCCCGTTCCGCCCGGCCGACCGGATCGTCTGCTCTTGGACTGCGATGGAGAGAGTGGACAGGCAGAACGGCTGCCTGGTCGTCCTGCCGGGAACGCACACCGGCACGCTGCGGGAGCACGACTACCCAGAGTGGGAGGTACAAATACACACACACACACACACACACACACACACACACACACACACGTGACATTCACCATGAACGCCCGCCAGGAGGAACACACATGTGCAATGTCTCGCGTGTCCTCAGGGTGGCGTGAACAAGATGTACCACGGAGTGCGCGACTTTGACCCGACGCTCCCTAGCGTGCACCTGGAGATGGAGAAGGGCGACACCGTCTTCTTCCACCCGCTGCTGATCCACGGCTCCGGCATGAACCAGACTCAGGGCTTCCGCAAGGTACCGCGCTACCCATAATCCACCTCAGACAAACTAGCTCCGTACTGCCTCTGCTCAGGAGGATTTTTGTGTGCACTCTTGTTTTTGTGATCTACAAAAAGCAAATCATAACGGCAGATGTGATGAAAATTATACATTTTAAAGGGAAAGGTGAGTGAACACGTGTGTGTTTGTTTGTTTGTGTGTGTGTGTGTGTGTGTGTGTGTATGTGTGTGTGTGTGTGTGTGTGTGTGTGTGTGTCCAGGCCATCTCCTGCCACTACGCCAGCGCTGACTGCTATTACATCGACGTGAAAGGAACCACGCAGGAAAACATAGAAAAGGAAGTGAAGGAAATCGCAACCAGGAAGTACGATTTGGACGACGGATTTGACTTTAAGGTCAGACGCTTACATTCACATGACATCCATCTGTTTAAAACGTTTCCTCCGACAACACAATCTGATATTCAGAAGGCTCGAATGCGCTTGATACAGTTGGATTACTTCTGGATTTTTAGATATTTCACACCGTTTACACACAATCTCACATGACCACATGATTTTATGAGAGAATGCCAGCGTGTATTTGAAAACAAAGCCAGAGCACCAGCTATCTATTAAGTGCAATCCCCTATGCGTGGGCCATGTGGTCCGTCAGCTGCCGGGCACAAGGAGAGGGATGGATTCTAGGGAAACCAATGCAGCAGCACGACCGCCATCTGCCACCTGAACATCACCTGAACATCACCAGAATTGCAAACCGACTTCATAAATTGCAATAACAACTGATACTAGCTGGTGTCTTGTTATTGTTTACAAGCAGCTGTCATGGGCTACATTTACTTTGCGGTTAGCCTTTGCAGAGCAACAAGTATTTGAGAGCTTGGAACCCATCGTAAGAGAAACATAGGCGCATGCTTCGTGCATTGTGTCTTGCTCAAAAATAAGCGTTAATATATCAGTAAACTGGCTGATTATCTTTGGGACATAATGTAGTTGTATAGATAACATGTTAATAAGAAACCCTTTTCTTTTTTTGAAGGTTTGTTTTTGTCGAGCTGACCCGTAAACTCGTTTTTTTTCCCGCTACAGGACACCTGGGCTTTCAAAGGCCACCTGGTTCAAGGAGAGAGGACGTCGCTGTGAAAGTGAAGCATGAAGCAAACACCACGTCGTTGCAGCGCGACCGACCACAGATCGACACGGTGATCGGATAAGAAGCAACAGGGCACGTTCGCACCAGCACAGGACGTCTTCAAGGCTTCCTGTCGTAAAGAAAAAACAGATTTCTAATTATGCAATCCCTAATTTGCTTTAGATCACTTCCTGTTTATTTAATTGAGGCTCGTCATTAACATTTTGGGAATGTAATCCATGTTATTCTAAAAACGGGAAATACTTTTTTAATAGAAAATGTCAGTTAATCACTACACTGTCATGCAGAATGAAGGTTATGAGCACACTGTACAGTGTCTTACAGCACAAAATGCAGTTTAATTCAACAAATCCTTCATGGAAAGGGAAGTTGACGATGATTTATGGGATGTTGATTAAGAAAAGTAAGCAGAGAGAGAGAGAGAGAGAGAGAGAGAAATAATGAAAGCTGTATTCAAGCAGAAATGTGCGAGTGATCAGTGTTGATTGTAGCTCTCGTTCATTAACACAAATGGAGGCCTTGAGCCAAGTACTGCCTTATAAATGTATCGACGTGTTAATGTCCGTGTGATGATGAGCGAATGAATGTTTGTTTCCTACAATCTTCCTGTGTACAAATGTAATGTTTTAATACCATTAATAATAAAAATGAAAGCTATATTCATTATTAATGAGACCTGGTTTCATTTCCTTTTAAAGCTTCAGACACAGAAACACACACTCGCCAATTTGACCTGTAATTCAATAACAGTCGGTCATCTCATACGATTATAAGCGATTATTAAGTCAACATAATTAAATACCAATAATGCCATAACATCTTGAAACATTAACACCTTATTTGTACATTACATACAATACTTTATGATGTATGTAATATGTAGATTATGTTGAAACAAGTGAGTGAAGGATCCACGATGCTGAAACTGTTGCTCATTAACATTTTAAACCAGCGAGAGAAAGAGGCTGCATTCAGGGACAGCGTGCTCCGATTGGTTTATGATTTAGTTATGCATTTATTGATTGATTTATCAGGAGAAATCTCATTTGTCCAAGTGAGAAATACCCCGTGTGAACTCCGGTCGCATCTTTGGTGAGATTGTAAATCACGTAACCAGAGAGGGGAACTCCAAACCACAAAGGATTATGGGTAAGCGGTTCAGCATGCTCAGAAAGACGAGCAGAATGAAATAAAGTCACATCCGCACTCTTATCTACAAGAGTCAAGATTTGCAGTGAATCTCTTACCTGGCAGGGTGACAGGTCACCATAACGCAAACATGTTACATACGTGTGACTTTTTTTAAAGCTCTAATTGGCCTGGATTTGGGCAGCAGCGACCTGAACAAACCACATTCAAAAAGATTAAAAGAAAGTAAGTTTCAGAATTGACCTGCCCGATTTGCCTTCCATACAAAGTCGTTCATGCTGCTCTAGGTGCATCAGAGAAAGTTGCTTGGCACTGACCGACGGTCTCGGGGGGGGGGGGGGGGGGGGGGG